TAGTGTTTGGGTTAAAAGGAGAGGTCAAGATGAAAGAGGGGAACAAGAGTTTGCTGCTCTGACCTCCATCGAAGGTAAGTTTTGCACATTGAAATATAAATCAAAACAGAGTTCAAAGGCAGTGCAACTAGAGTTAAAACAATGTTGTAGCATGCCAATTGCCAAGTAGTACAAATAAGTTGCCAACATCCTAGTGATGACTAACCTTTTCGAACTCATGCTTGAGCCACGCGACTCTCCTTTCATTGCTCTCCAAGTTCACGAAGATCTCCCTATTGTCTTTCATTTCCTTAAAAAGATCGTGCGCAAAAAAATATAACCGTTTGTCTTGCTGAATCTCAGGGATGGTGTCCATCAACTGTATGAGCTCCTTCTGTGCATGACCTAGTCCCTCATTTCGTTGAGATGCAGCCGTGCTGCTACTTTCGACAGCTGAACAAATTTTCTCAAGTTGCTGTGTTGACTTAGCTGCTCCTATCAATTTCCTTTCTTTTCTTTCCTTGAGTTCGCCTCACTTTGCTCCGAGCCACTCTTTTACGGCTCTTACCTTCACCTAATTCTACAATATTTTCATCTATCTCATACTCTAAATTATCATCACCGCTATCAAGTGGTGTAGCCTCAATATCCTTATAAGTATAACTTTGTGTAGGAGACCATGTGATACCTGCACAAGCAAACGTTTTATCTAACAAAACTTCAACATCCGAATGTATGCATTTTCTTCTAAAAGGCTTACGCCCAGATTTGGCCCGTTAAAATAGAACATTTCCGTGAGTTGTATCTTTCACATCATAGAAGATGAACTAAAAAAAAAAAGGTAAAAAGAGAAGTGATAAACACCTGAATTTTCTTCTCCCACCATTTGTCGCTTGCATCAATTGTCTCTTGCTAGGATCCCATCCTAGTCCCGTTTCCTTATAGAGCAATTGCTTCCAATTTCTCCATTCTTCTTCAAGATGATCCAACTTACTCCTCATTTGAGTTCTATCATAGTTTTTGCACCTCAACTTCTCTAACTTGTTAATAATGATTGACCATCCATCCCTCTCATTGGTGGCAAGACCTTTTTCAAATAGTTCAATGCACAACTTACAAAAATTTCCACATCTTCATGACTCCAATGTACATTTTTCTTTGACAAACTTGCCATTTTCTAGTAAAACGAACATGATAAAGAAATTCATGACAATAAACATGAGATCTCGGTTGCAGTCTCCTCGTCAAGCCACTCTCCAATTACTTGTTCCTTCTGCTAAACAGCTTCTGAATCGATTAACTCCGATATACTTCGTTTTTTATCCTTGTTTAGTGGCTACGGATTCTCGCTTTTTGCAGCCATTTGTCTTCCCTGATCCATATATTTTCCCCCATTTCCAACACTCCATTTAACTGATGTGGATATTGATTCTCGACCCGAAATCATACTCGGTCACCCCCATGAAGAATGTGCACCTTTAGTGGCATGGCAAAAATCTGACTTAGGAACAAAAGTCTTTTAGGTAGTTTGCTCCATAGCCGTTGAGGGTGGTAAGTGATTCTCCTAAGCCTGCTTCACAAACACGGCTTTATTGAAAATTACCACATCTTTATACTCCAGACCTTGGGGTGATGGAGGGATCGTACTATTCGAGCCTTTTTTTATTCATGCTTTTCCCGGAGTTCTAGAGAAAGCTACAATAAATAGGATTTTCCTAATACTCCCTTCTCGAAAGGAAGAACGTGAAATTCTTTTTCCTTTCCTAGGGACCAAGAGATTGGATTATAGTCGTCAGAAGAATGCTTGGATGATAAATAACTCACTCTTCCCCAATTTCTTCATTTCCCACTTTCTTTGGCGAATCCCCATGTTTGGCTCAGCATTCTTCCACTAGAAAGAGGCTATTTTCTTTTCCTCTGAGCGACAAACTGAAACTAGGACTTTAAAGATCGACATAGCATAAGTTTACTGGTTAGTCTATTTTTTGAGGGTGAAAAGTTTTAGAGTGGGTAGGTTCTAGACTAGGAACACTGGAACTTATCAGTCGGTTGCCAAATTTTGGAATTGAAAACGGAACCGGCCATTTTTTTACTTTCGTGCCTAGAATTGTCATGGCCAAAAACTAAACATCCTCAAACTAACTCCATCATCCGATGATCGGTGCTTTACGCAATTCATTACAAAGTAGGGAAATCGATTACAATTGTCTATCCAATTGTGATTTTGTTCAATCCACCAGCACCATAACTCAAAACGCTAATAATACACACGCACATAACCGAAAAGATCAAGCGCTGATAATCAGGATCAAGGGAAATATAATGATGGGTTTTACCTCGGGTGATGGTGAGCGCGCATGAACTTTGGATTCACCTGTCTTTCCGTTCTCCGAAGCAGCTACACTCCCCCTAGTAAGAAAGAAAAAGAAAAACTCAAAACTTTACGAACAACAGAAGGGGAAAACAAAAAGGCAAAGGCCATAGAATCAGTCAACTAATTTATTGTCGGAAGGGTCGCAAGAACTCATGGCGCCAACTAGGGCTGTCAATAAAGCCCGGCCCGACCCAGACCGGACCGATCCGACCCGGACCGGCCCGAAAATTTAGGACTTTTTCGGGGCGGGCCTCCTCTGGATTGGGTAAGAGCTCAAAATTTCATATATTATCATTGTTTCGGGCCGGGCCGGGCCGGTCCGGATCGGGCTTTATTAACAACCGGCCCGTGACTTAAAAAAACCCTAGATTGTATCATCGACATCTCTTTCGTCACTTCGTCTTCAAGCTCCCGCTCACCCCCTCTTTACAGGTTTGCAGTGAAGTCTTCGACGGAGATCCGGTGAACTGGGGATCCGTTTTCGTAGATCTCGCTCGCTATTCAGTCTTATTAGCGCACTCTGGTGTTCCAGCGTGCGTCTCTCCCTCTCCTTCGGTTTTGTGCCCGGTTGTCTCGCAGCTCAAACGAGTCGCGAAGGGCTTGCAGGGTGGTGCGTCTTCGTTCTCTCTTCCTCGTCGTCAACGACCCTGTGGTTCGAATTTCCTTCATTGTTCGGACCGCGTTGTTTGCTGGTGAGCGTGTCGCCGTGTCCGACGAGTCTCTTAAGCCCTTGTGATATTGATTCCTTCTGCTTTTATCTTCGTTCCTTTCTTGGTGACCGTGAGATGAATGGTGAGAGATGTTTGATTTGAATTTGAATCCATTCTCGACCTGGGTTTTCTTTTCTTTTCTTTTTTTTTAAGCCATTTTTTCTGGGTTTGGAAGGTGGGTGGGGGATTTTGCGTTTTGGTGTGGGTTCTGAGAAGATGGCTGGTGCGGGAAGATGAAATTGCTTCGACTCTGTTTTGGGTTCATTTGATTTTGACTGCAGTTCAGTGAAGATGACTGGAGCTGGGAATTTTAAATTTGTTTCGACTTTTTTAGGCGTTCCTTGAATTAGAGCAACAGATATTCTTTTGAATGCTTCGAATTTCTTCTTTTAGTTTTGACCCGAATCGTTGCTTCGAGTTCCCGAGTGATCGAATTTGTCAATCTACACAACAGGCTGCCGAGCTTAGAGTCGGTCTTATGCTTTTCTCATAGCTTTTATGTTAGTCGCATCGCGAGTTGGTGGCAACCTCTAAGAGACATGCTAATATGCTGTTGTGGAGTTTAAGATGTGTTTGCCATGGCACGGATCGCGGCATTTGCTCGAAATGATTTCACTCTTCGATTTGCAGCTGTTTTGCTGCACTCTCAGGTGGAGCACATTTCGACTGTGAGAGACCTCAAAAGGAGAGCTGAAGATTATACCTTAGGCAATTATATCCTTTGCTTACCTAAGGTAAAAAAAAAAAAAACCGAAAACCCGGCCCGACCCGAACCGGCCCGACCCGGATTTTCGCTTTGGGTACTATGCGTTTTGGGCCGGGCCAGGTCAGAGAGAGCATGTGCCCCTTGTGATTTGGGTCGGGTCGGGTATCATAGAAACCCGACCCGACCCATTGACACCCCTAGCGCCAACGGTACACTGAGTTAAGAGCGAAACACGAATCGGTCTTCACGTGAACCGGTGGTTCCTTCCGGTTCGATTCCCGATTGAACCGGCTCCCGTTGCTCACCCGCCGCCTCCCGGAAAAGACAAAACTGCCCCCATTTGCAATTTCAATTTCCTGGGGTTACCCCTCCTGTATAATGTTAAACCGCGCACGAATGGGCTACTGGTCGGTCTATTTTGCTATCTTCCTCTGCTCCCTTTGCCCGGTCGCCTCGAGCTTCCAACATGGTAACCCTTCGTTTCCTCGTTCTCTTCCCGATCTTTGTCCTTTTCTCTCTTTCTTACTTGTCCACCGATCATCATAGAAGTTCCACTTCCATGTCGGCTTCCTACTTTTGCGGGTTCATGTGTAGGGTGAAGAGAAAGACGAGATATGTCCAAGTGTTATGTTCTTGAACTGTTTTGATCTCTCACCACCGATTCCAGTTCGAAGTTCTGGTATTCTCTTGATTTGAGCAGCGACCATGTACTTATTATGGGTGCCGAGCATCGAATTGACGACTGGATGCACACAACCTGCTTGATAGATTGCTCAAGACACGACTCATTAAGTTCTGTTGTATGAATATCTGACTTGAGTGCATGTAATGGGCGAGAACATGCGGCACAGAATCCTGTAGTTTTTTGTTTAAAGGAATACATGAACAGGAAAATTATTGACCCTGGTTTTGCAGTTTTTGAGGACTCCCGTATGCATAACATTGGGAGTATATTTGAAATTTGTGCGTGAATTTGAATTTCATGAGTAATTAATGGCCTAAAAATGGAAACAAAGGAATTAATGCCTCACTGCGGATGGTATTTAAAGCTTATGAAAAATTTACGAACGATTACGCGTGTCATTATTAATGCCAATGACTCTTTCGTGGACTTTCATTTCAGTGTTATCTCGTATACAGCATCCCTGTACATCTTTTCTTGTGTAGAATCCCTGTTTGCTTTTCTTTTTTTAAAATACAATGAAACTTATGCTCTTCCTAAGACGGCAACTGTTGTTTTGTTTTTGATAATTGTTTTGGTTGTTTCATCTTCCTTTGAGCAATCTGACCAGAAGTAGTTGAATCACTTGCTGCATTTGAATTATTCTTTTCCTTTTGTACGAGTTGATGAACCTCATAAGATGATAAAGCATGTCTTTGAGGAGCTTCGTTGATGTTTCATATCATCCTTTTATCGTGAGCTGGTGGATGAGAACAGCCAGAATTTTACATGTAATTCATTTGATGAATTGCCCGTGTTAGATTAAGGTTATTTCGAAATTCTTCATAATTCAGATACTCACTTTTCCTGCTGTTGAATTCCAGCCTTCAAGAAACTGTGTGTCTTTTCAAGTGAAGTCACTGGACTTCTGCTAAGGGTACTCCACCATACTGCACGTGCCTACATAATCTAAAAGGTGACCGAGAATAGAAGGGAGAGGGAGATTAGTTGAATGGACAAAATAGAGAAAATGTAACAGATTAATTTGGTGTTTTTGGTTGGGTTTGACTGAAAGAAAAAGGAAGGCAATTGGTCATGGACTGTCGGAACTTAATTTCTCACCAGTTCTACCATCCAGGTATAAGTCAGGTTAGCATCTTAGCACCTCAAATTTTATCTAATTGACTTGACTAGCTACTCATAGCGTATATATCTTTTTCTGATTCTTCCTTTGCATGATCCGCCAGATCAAGAATGCTGGAGTTGCATTATCATTGCGTTATGGATTTAGAAGTTCGAGAATCTCCTTAATTCGAAACCGTGATGCTTTTGCTGTCCAAGGAAAGGTGATGATAAAAATCAATTATATGTGTCTCAGGAAATTCATCCTCAACTAAATTTGTTTTTTTTTTCTTTTTGTTTATAATCTAGTGAGTAGATTTCTTGGGTGATATGTAGGACACCCGTCTTTCCCATGTCAAGGGAAACCTCAATAGAGATGGAGAGTCTTTATCAAAATCTCAAGCCACTGCCAAGTTGGTCGTTTCTCCAATTCGATTGCTTGATCTTCCTTATGTCTAACTAATTTTAAATGAGCCATACTGGATCTAGAAGTGAGAAAATTTCATTAAAAAGCATTCTTCCTTGTTTTGTTGCCATTTGATTTAGGTGTTGTGCTTTATTTTTCTTCGCAGGAAAGGCATAGCGTTAAATAAAAAGAAGGGAAAGAAGGAGCACCACTTTTGGCAGAGAAGGGATTCAGCTGGGTCTGGTCAAAAGGCTCTCAATCTTGTGAGAATTGTAAGAGCATAGTTTCCTTTTATTTAGACTTCCTTTTCTTACAAGAACTGTAAGAACTTTGGAGGACAAATTGTATAAATTTCACATCTGAAAAATAGCTCTATGGTTGTTATGCAAATTTAATTCTACTTGATTGGTAATATTACATATTCCCTTCTAATTGTAAAGCGTCTCTTTATTGGTTGGAACAGATTTCTGATCTTCCCCATGAGAAAGAGACTGTTTATAAAGCATTGGATAAATGGACGGCTTGGGAGGTGGAGTTTCCCTTGATTGCCGCAGCAAAGGCTTTGAGGATATTGAAAAGTAGAAGTCAATGGCTGCGTGTGATTCAGGTATAGCTATTCCAATTTATTGCGTCCTTTTCTTGATTACTAGTTTTTATTACTGTTTTTTTTTTTTTTTTGGTGTGAATGTAAGTATTATAAACCAGATGAAGTACAGCAGCTTAGGGGCATCCCCCAGCATTACAAAGTTTTTATTACTGTTAAGTGGTGGCATTCTGCGTGCCATTGAGGATAAGGATTGAAACTTAACTAATGACGATGTACATCTGAAATGCGATGGACTGAATAAGATTCATGGGCAGAGTTGCTATTATCATAATTTTGTGGTCCAACCAATGTATGAAGCACAATTACTTGGAGTCCATGATGCAAGACAAAGTATGTTTGAAACCAGATTGGTTCTAGGAACTTAATAAAAAGCCCAAACTAGTCTGTATTGATTCCACATGCACAAAGAAGCTGGCTTGCATAGCATCTACTATAATATTGATGATATATACAACTAGATGACGACAGAGCCTTAGGTTATGGATGTGTTCTTATTAGGACATGCAGGTTAATTTAACCTATCTGTGCATAAAGTCGTAGACCATGCTGGATTCTAGCAAAGATGCTATGAAAAGAGAACTTATTTAAGTTAGTGTCCAAGAAATATGCATCATATTGTCGAAAATCACTGTCTACCTTGTCCTCTAGGTGTTTGTATTGTGTCTATGTTCCTGATGAAGTGCAACTATTTTATAGTTTCTGTTGATAGGTGAATAGACATGAATTTATTGGTACAGTGCATGGACCAGTCTAAGCAATCCACCAAATTGCCAATAGAGATGAATCAAGAATGTTGGCATTGTTTTCCAATCATATGCTTTTTCTGTTTTGGTAATCCGAGGCTATTGGGGTTGTTCCAAAATTTGCTGGAGCTTCTTTTGTTATGAGCAATCTGTACGTACATTGCGACATTTCCACTTTTTTTCCTGGAGAAAAGTATTCACGTGCTTCAAACTAAACCAGTTATTTGATTTTCATTAATACTCAGGTTGCAAAGTGGATGCTGGGAAAAGGTCAAGGAGCAACAATGGCAACATATGATACCTTGCTGCTGGCATTTGATGTGGATGGGAGGGTTGACGAGGCTGAATCATTGTGGAACATGATCTTGCACACGCATACGCGCTCAATCTCAAAGCGGTTATTTTCTAGGATGATCTCTTTATACGATCACCATGACATGCAAGATAAAATAATAGAGGTGTGTACTGTTTCCTACTTGCAGAAATGGCTTTCATTGCTTAAGTCGCATGAAACAGCTTTTTGTGATTACAGTTCACAGGTTTTTAGATTCTGTACTTTCTTTCCTTCATTGAAAGATTTCATTAGCTCCATCCAAATTTGTGTCGATACTTTGATTTTTTTGGTGGAATGTTTAAGGTCTTTGCGGACATGGAAGAGTTGGGTGTGAAGCCAGATGAAGATACTGTCAGGAGAATAGCGTGCGCATTTGGGAGACTTGGTCAAGAAGAAAAGCGGAAGCTGTTCCTTAAAAGATACCAACGTAAGTGGAAGTACATCCATTTCAATGGGGAGCGAGTTAAAGTGAGTCGGCAACCTTTGGAGGAAGATGAATAAATCATTTCTAAAAGCAAGAAAGAGGATGGTAATAGCAAAACCATCTTCGTAAATATGTTCTGGCACATATACTGACGATATAACTGATCTGGTGGGAGCCCTTCATCTTTGCAAATTCGATTTTTTAGCCTCTTTTCTCAGATCCTGCTAATTCTTTTTCCCCATGAAGGTACATACAATTCAAAAAAAGTAGCCATTCCATGTTTAAAAATCGAAGATAGCCCAGTAATTGTGTTGGCTTATGTTGTATATAGTGGTGCTTGGAGTCACACCATCAGTGAGAGCGAATCACTCATTTTTTTCATCCTTCTTGTGGAGGTCGAAGCAGAAATTAAGACTGAACTGCAGAAGTAATTTGTGTTGATTATGTCAATTTCGAAGTGGATGTACTTTTGTCCAGGAACCTTATAAAGTTGGCTCTTGTCCCTGTAAATTCTCAGAGATTCTAGTTCATCACAGTATATTCAGTGCTCAGGTGGAAGTGACTACCTTGATTTCTTTCTATTTGACTAGCCAAAAATGCCAATGATAACGTGCGGGGAAGAAAGGTGGCGCTAAATCGACTCCAACTTTGGTTTCATACACATATGAAAGAGTTACAATAACAAAAATACTCACATTATGGATCGCAGTCCCACAGAGGCTGTGGTGTGGCCGTTCTCTCTCTTCCTCCCCATGCTCGGGGATGGAGGCCATCGCCGAGTACTCACATCAGTTTGAGCTCGATCCGGCTGACTACCTCAAACGGCCTTGATCCCAACGATCACAATGGTGCGACCTCAGAACCGGAAGCTGCGAGGGCAGAGATGGGAAAATAGCGCAAAAGGAACCATCTGCGAGTCGTGAGAAGTGGGATCAGTAGAGACAATCGTTCAAAAGTCCCAAACTTATTGTACGATGATCAATTTAGTTGTAAACTTTTCAAATTTGCTAATTTAGTCCTAAATTTTTTTACGATTTGCAAATGTAGGTTTTTGGCTAATTTTGATTGGAAATCGCTAATGTGGCGATTGTATAACGTAGGACAGTCGGCGTCCACGTCATTCATTTCTGGCCAATTTCATTGGCAAATCGTCAAAAGGTTTATGAGTAAATTGATAAAATTGAAAAGTTTAGAATTGAATTGATCACTATGCAATAGATTAAGGACTTTTCGGATAATTTTCCTGGGATCCGTGCGAGGAAAATGTTTAAAACAAACAAATGGGCCTGTGGGACCCATTGTTTGGACAAGTTTGTCTTCTTAGTTTTTAGAACGTGTTGTTGAAACTTAAACTTTGGCTCATTTGTTTGTCGTTCATCCGATAAGAAAATTAGAAATAAAACTCAACCTGGAAGTTACATAAGTTACATGTGGCATTATACGTTGCATCACATTGCATTGAGGTTTTTATAAGCATTTAGGACTAACAATTAGCATCAAGCATGATACAGGGAGCCAGAGGTGAGCCCGATAAGTGGCCCAGGATGAGGTAAGAGTATGAAATCAAGAGAGACGAGCTCATAATTCAACTTTCCAACAGAAATCTGATGAAATACCTGGGATTTCTTACCCGGAGGTTTGATATATCATCTGCTGAATACCCGACCTTTTTCAGGGCATCTCTTTTGTGATGATAAGGAGGGCTTCTCCAGCGCCCAAATTTTCGTGTTCTATCACTGGGGATTAGAACTCTGAGCTGCAAAAGCATGCTGTGTCAATTCCGCTTGGGGAACAGAAGAAATTTTTTGTGACATCTTTGGAGACACTCCAAAGGTATGCGCTTCGAACTTAATTTTCCCACTTTCTTGGAGCTCAATCCTGAGTCCGACAAATAAGGCGAGCTCAAAATCATGTTTCCAACATCTTAGGAGCTAGAAAATAGGTTGATGAGCTAGGAAACATGCATTCCAACATTGTGGGAATTTTGGGACGCGAGCTGACGATTTAATGACATTTCCAAAATTGTGGGAGTTTTGTCCAAGTTCCATTGAACAAGGTGGATAAGGTAGCATGATGAGGCGCCAGTTGGCACAATCTTGGCCAACGATCAACCATGCAAGTCCTTATGAATTCACTCCTTAATCTAATCCAATTAGGACTAATTCTCTCACTATAGATAGAGGGCATGGTCAGCCTTGTTGATAACCCAATCGCTCAAGAGCGCTCTCTCTCTCTTCTAACATAATCACCATTCACATATTAGTGGTTTAAGAAATAAAATTGGTGAAGATTGCATGCAAAGTGTATCCTAAAGAGAAAAGATACTGAAAGAGTATTAGATTAACCCATCGTAATCAAATCTCAATATTTAGAATCTCTAGTTCGGATGAATAAGCTGTACTCCACATTCTACTCAGGTTCTCAACTACCCCAAAATGATTTTAATTGCATAATTGAATTGAGAATTCAAGTTGTGATTGGTAAGGCTTGGGAGGATTTGTGTTAAGTGAAAGTGCCATCTCATAGGAGGAACCGTTTATGATCGCTTAATAATCTGTCAGTTTTCTCTCGGTGGTTCACCTCGGAAAGGTTGCGACATGTGTATGGAGCCAAAATAAGGGTGGATTTAGCGCAACCTAGGACAAAAAAGTGATAAATGTTTGTGCAGAAAGCAAATTTCCCAAGATTTACATTAATTTGGAAAATGACTTAAGTAGCTGCTAAATGAGGAAGCTTTAGAATGGAAGTTAGAATGCATGAAAGATTAGAGGATAACATGTTTGTTATGTCGACCTTGTTAAATTAAACTTTTTGTTGCTTGCAAAGTATACTGTTATCATTCTTTTTACCAGAAGTATACTGTCATGTATATTTGAGCTTCCAAAACTTTGTGGGTTCGCGTTGTGTATTACTAGCAAAAGATCATACATGTTTTGTGGGTTAAGAAATAATAATTATCTCAACTTCTTTTAACAAGTTGCATTGGTTCATGGGTTGGTATTTTTTGGTGGAAACCTTCTCTAGATGCATGGCAGAGGAATTATTCAAAAGGAAGAAGAATACCTATTGACGACGAGAACTGTGACAAGGTACAGGAAGAAGCCTGGTCAATCTCTCCCTCGTTTCGAATTCTCTTACGAAACACAATTTAAACTCCTTAAAAAAACTCAAAAGCAATCAAGAAGGAGAAAAGTCAAGGAAGGATCCAAACAATCCAACTTGATGAATCTCTCTTTGATCATCAACGCGAGATTAGTGGGGCCAAAACGAAAATCTATCCTAAAGATACTGCTATGGGACTATTGACATTGTGAACCCCATCAGTCCAGGTATACCATCCCAAGCCATACTCACCAGCTAGTTCGTTCTTCACATTACAATCTGCCGTAACCGTGATTGTGAAGCTTCGCTTCTGGCCGATACGATCAAAGGTCAGCTCCGCGGGTTCGATCGTGACGATAGCTCCCCTCAGCTTCTGCACGTTCGAGATGTAAACAGCCTTGTGGTTCGGCCCAGCATTCGTGACAGTTCTCTTCACGGTGATGGCGCCGGTAAGTCTCGAGATTTGAAGAGACAGATAGTTCAGATCGCTTGAGACAGTCTTTGTTCTCGGGCAAGTGTAGTTATTGATTGATATGCCGAGGCCACATAGATAGTTTTGGTAGTCCGAGAACGCCACGTCGTAGACAAGGCCCGGGTCCGCCGCTCTCTGCGGCACCAAATGCCCCGATCCATATGCGAAGGAGTTTGCTGAATTTCCGGTAACCTCCGTTATCGGCATGTTCATGGTGTTGACCTGAGTAGCTGCAATTTGAAACTCCAAACAGTTAGATTAAAGCTAATGATACATATGCCCTCCTAGTTGGTCTGTCCTCTGTTTTTCCTCTTGTTTACCTTTGCTATGCTAAACACCTCACTATGCCAATTAGTGACTTGAAAAGTTACACCTCGAGCTTATTAATCTTCTTTTGTTTCCCATTTAGAGGGTCGATCAGATTGGGATTTTAATTATAAACCTGTGGTCATTAGGGCAGATCTTATAGCAGCGCTGCTCCATTTGGGGTGAACAGCTTTGAGAAGAGCAGCTGCAGCAGCCACATGAGGGGCCGCCATAGAAGTTCCCAAGACCAGGTTGTACTCCACGGTTCGCGGGTCGATCTCCGACATCGACACTGAATCTCGCCTGCTCCACGCTGCCAGTATATTCAATCCTGGGGCCGTGATGTCAGGCTGAGAAAGGGGAGGGGAAGGCGGGGAAAAAAAGAGAAGGTGGTGGCAAAATCAAGAATTCAGCTATTCCGGTCCGTCAAGAAATTAGATTTCATCGAAACGAGTTGAGGCTTGAAAATCGTACCTTGAGAATATTAGGGTCGATGATGTTCGGACATCTGCTTGAGAACGAGGCCATAACCGGGGCCGGCGTCGTGTTGATCACTGTCTCCACAGGTGCTATCCTCGCCTCCAGATTCTTGGCATATTTGATGTAGTCGAGAATTGTGACGGCCATATGAAAAGTCACTTTTGTCGTCGGAAGTCAGTTGATGGGGTCCGGAAAGTCCGGCTCGATAAATACGGTGTCAATGATGACTAGACCGACGCCACCGGCTCTCCTCACTTCCAACCCTTTGTCAAATAATGTTCCATTGCCTCCTAAAGCGTACAACACTATCTTCCCTTATATTTTCTCAGGAGAAAGGGAATTAGGGAGGCAGACTTGAAACATGCAAGTAAAAAAATGAGGGATTCAGATATAAATTATACAGAGAAAGCCAAAATATTTGCAAGGGATATGAATAGTTACTCTCTAGAGTACTCGGGGACATTTGGGGCAATCACATCTGCAGCATAAGCTATGGATAGAACTTGTTCAAACTGTATGGAGTGAGTGATCGTCCCTGTAGAGATGGAATCGCAACAAAACAAATTGAGTCCCCATCAAACAACTGTTGGAAATTGATGGTATCCAGTGGATGTTGTGCATAACATCATCTCCATATTTATTTTTGCCTCTTACCTCCATCAACGTTCCATTTCCCAGCATTAGAGGCCCAACAAAAGCTCGGTCGAGGCTGCTGGCAGTGACTGTCATGACCCACGGAGCTGTGTTCAATAGAGTCGACCTGGTGGGGCCGGAGTTCGCCGCGGCGCACGCCGTCACCACGCTGCTTCTCGTTGCTTGGAGCATGCCGAGGGCAAGATAGTCCTTGGTGCAAGGGAGAGGCCTATTGTTGCCTAGGGAGATGCTCAGGACATCGTCCCCGTCGCCAATGGCATCATCTATAGCGGCTAATATGTCCTCCTCCAAGCAAGTGACATTCATTTGCTTGGTCATGCTGGGGACCGCCCAGCACACCTTGTACATGGCCAGGTGGGCGAGCGGCGCGCCGCCCGCAGTGGTGCCCCACGCAAGCCCGCCGAAGGCCGAGACGTCCGGAACCTTCTGGCCTCCAACCATGGAAGCCATGTGGGTCCCGTGCCCGTCCACGTCACGAGGCGACCGGTAATCTAAGGTGGTGTTGAGAGGCCCATAGGATTTCTCATAACCTTTGGGTAGAATCTAGCTCCAATAAGCTTTCTGCAA